GTTTATCTGCAGTTAGTTACACGAATTCAGTTATGGGATGAAATCGGATAGGGATGAAATCGGATAGGGATGAAATTGTTTAGGGATGAACGGGTTTAAGAGTTTTAAGAGTTTAAGAGTTTTTAAGAGTTTTAGCCAAATGCTTTATAATATAGTATAGATATAAAAAATCTAAGATATAATTACAATAATTATCGAGTTCCAACAAAATAAATAAATATTATTTTTATAAAAAAATCATATTATTAAACCAAATATAAATTACTTTGTTATTGTACATAAATTAAATTATAAAAAAATTGAATTAAAAAATTACACAAAAAAATGAAGTAATTCAAATAGTTAGTTTGATACTAATTTCGATATATTTTTGTCAAATTTTTATGATATATTCAAACATATATTTTATTCAAAAATAAAAACATCATCGCTTTCTCAAAATCACATAAATTCATATTATAACATCAGTTGAGATAAAAAATAAAATGAAATATTAAAATCACGATGTATCTCGCTGCATTGCGCGAGTACGCTTCTAGTTTATACAAATTCAAACATCGAGTTTTAATAAGTTGTACTTATGCATAATTACTTGTAATCTTGAGTTTTAAGTAATATGCATCAATATACAGTACTTTATGCATAATAAAAATATATCGATATTTATATTAAATTAACTATTTAAAATTCCTATTTTTTGTGTAATTTTTTAATTTAATTTTTTATTATAATTTAATTTAAGAGTTTTAATTAAATGTTTTACGATATAACATAGATAGATATAGATTCTAACCAAGAGTGTATATGTATATGCATATCATTATTATTATATTTATTATTATTTTGAAAACCATCGAAGAATCAGGAATATATACAATGAATTTGGAATTTGGAATTTGAAATTTGAAAAGTGGGTTGAAACTGTCTTTCAACTTACAAGATCTTCTCTATCCCCATTTTATCTCACTCTCGTCTTCATTAACCTCTCTCCCTAGGGTTTTCTCTCTCACTATTTTCAATCATGGCGCCATCTGCTACAAAGAAGAAGAAGAAGCAGCCTACTCCCTATGAGCACATTGATCACCCACAATCATCATCAATGGCCGCAACAACTACTTCCCTAACCGACCCAATAAACTACAACACTCCACTCTCTGAACCGCCAACATTAGACCTGCTCGGAGATCAAGATTTGCATGGCACCAATCTTAAACTGACCCTACTCTACCAGCCCCCTCCACCGTCACTGGAACAACAACCCCCACCGTCACTGGAACAAGAACAACAACCCCCACCGTCACTGGAACAAGAACAACAACCCCCACCGTCACCGTCACCGTCACCGCCGCCACCACCGCCACCTCCACCGCCACCGCCATCGCAAAACACTCACCCAATCCTTGGTCAACAACCACAACCGCCACCGGAACCGGTGGGGATACCTGCCCCACGTCGCCAACGTAGAAACTCTAGACAAGCCCCACGAGAAGGTAAATCCTTAACCATCCAACCACCATTCCCATGGGCGACCAGCCACCGTGCCATAGTCCACAGTCTGAAACACCTAATGGATACCGGCATCACCGTCATTTCCGGTGACGTCCACTGCAAACGTTGCGACCAACGGTTCCAAATCGAATACAATCTCTTAGACAAGTTCTTGGAAGTCGCCAGCTACATTGCTGAGAACAAATACAAACTCAGTGATCGAGCTCCGCCTGAATGGAAGAACCCCACCCTACCCAAATGCAGGTTCTGTGGTCAAGGAAACAGCGTGAAGCCGGTGATCGCCAAGAAAAAGAATTCGATCAACTGGCTGTTCTTGTTTCTTGGCCAGATGCTTGGGTGCTGTACTTTGGAACATTTGAAGTATTTCTGTAAGCATACTGGAAATCATCGAACTGCTGCTAAGGATCGGGTTCTATATCTGACGTATTTAGGGTTGTGCAAACAGCTTGATCCTACTGGACCCTTTAATCGTTAATTCATGATCACTGTGATGATATGTTGATTATCAGTGAGTAATATATATCAATTAAGCTGTCGCGATATGATTGATCTTATCGTTAATCGGGTTTAAGAAAGATTCATGCAGGTTTTTGTAGGTTTTCGTTGAATGTTGATTGATATGGATTGTAATGTTCGTGGTATGATTTGATTTTACTGTCGTAAATGTAGTTTTTAAGTTCTTTTAATATGATAATTTCTTTATAATGTGATTTGATTGATATGGATTTTATATATATATATATATATTCCAAGGATCGTGTGAGAAAATAAGTTATGGTAAGACCATCCACATTCCTGCAATCCATTTATACTTTCAATTGTGTCATATTAGCTTTTGCAATTATCTTCCACACACCTGCAATTCACCTACAACATTTTCAACTGTGCCACGTCACCTACACTTTCAAAAGTGGTCCCCACTACAACATTTATTAACTATTTTATAAATTATTTATATATACATTCTAATTATTTTTTAATTAATAACATGTTTTATTTTAATTCAATGTTAATTAAAACGATTAATATATGATATAATATGATATAATTTTTTATATTA